CTGCAGTCGTTAATCTGGGATCCATTTCGATGCTCCTTTTGACAGCCCTTTTTGTCTTCTCCGATGGACCAGGACGACTCGGACGCTTCTTAGTTGTTTCCTTGCCATGTTTCCTGAACTGCACGATGATTCTGTTGACTGTTGAAAGCGGGACTCCCAAATTCTGCGAAATGTGCCGCTGACTTATTCCACCATCTGCTTGACCAACTATCCTTCCTCTAACAAAATACGACAATTCGAAAGAACCTTGAGTTCTAGGCATGATGTAGCACAAGATAATTAGTGTGTGGACCAGTTTCATTTATATAGTGCTCTGTGAACACAAATTAATTAGCATAAATCAGTTAAATGACAAAAAATTGGGTGTCTATTTACTTGTGACAACTCAGTGTATATATATATATATATATGTGTGTGTGTGTGTGTGTGTATGTGTAATTGTTTTATCCCGTGTAATATCAGAAATTTGGTTTCAAATTAAATAAAAGAAAATAAAGTGAACCAGGTGCTCTAGTCTTTGTAATATAACTGCTATAAGTTTGTGAACAAGAACTGGGTGAACAAGTTGTAAATAGAATTCTGGGTTATAAATAAGGTAGGTGTAAAAAGGAAAAGGTAAAGACCCAAATAGTTTCCTTACTCTGATATCTCGACTAACTAAGAACTGCAAGTTTTCGAGGATGTTTTTATAAAACATCTTTTACAACTGCATAATCAACATATCATATTATTCCAAAATTTATTTAATCAAATTCTAAAACACTTTTTTTACACAACAGGAACTTTTTAATTCCAAACGTATTTCAATTTTTAGCTAAATATTGATGAAAACATGAAACAGGGCAACGGTAAATATTTTGTTTAAGATGTAATTAGAGATCCAAGCCGGATCGTTCTCTTTACCATTGCGGTTTACACAGATTTGAAAAACCTGGCATGGCCAAGTGGTTAGGGCGTTCGCCTCTTATTCTGCGGGTTGCGGGTTCGAATCCCCGTCCCACCAAACATGCTCGTCTTTTCAGCCGTGGGGGCGTTATAATGTCACGGTAAATCCCACTATTCGTTTGTAAAAGAGTAGCCCAAGAGTTGGCGGTGGGCGGTGATGACTAGCTGCTTTTCCTCTAGTCTTACGCTGCAAAATTAGGGACGACTAGCGCTTTGCGCGAAATTCAAAACAAACAAACAAATACATTTGAAAAGCAC